AAAAAAATATAACTAAAACCCTCCTGCTCCATACTCTTTACCCTTTTTTCCTTTTCTAAGTTTAATTTTCTCTTTCTACTCATTGATCTAACATCTTTAGTCGTTTTTGAAGTCAGGACACTTCTATATTTAGAATAATATGTAGGGGGACATGGAGAATGTAAAAGAGCACAGTGTTTTGCCACAACTCAGTCGCCTGCCAATACACCTAAGTCCATAGACAAATCTAACATTGGTTTCGTACAAATTGAGATAAAATTTATTTTTTTTCTTTTGGGGAACAATACTGATGTTACTCCAAACGGTCATGATTTATGTATGACACAGACCTGTAAATAACAATTAATTCAACCAACTTCCAGATGACATAGAAAATGAAACAAACGCCGAAATAAAGAGCGAAATGTAATTGTTATTTTCAGTAGAAAACAACAAAAAACGCAAATTTTTGAAAAAATACCATTTAAACTCCACTTAAAAATTGTCAGTCAGTCATAATAATTTCACTTTCCTTTTGTTTAGTCTTCACTTTTAAATGAGGTTTCTGTTGCAGATTGTTAAATACAATTAGGAGAATAAGATAAGACCATAATATTTTGTCTTGCTGCAATAGAGCAATAAAATATCAATATCAGGGAAACAGTTCTAGTGAAAAGTGATCTTGTGCCAGATAATTACTTTTAGCAAGACAAAATCATAAATAAAGATAATATATTTCATTTTTAAAAACTTTTATATCTTTCTGAAATATCAATTAAACAATTCATATTAACAATTTCATGAATTTACTGTATTTGAGTACAATGTTATGTCAAAAAATACCAAGTGTCACCTACAAGTGTCATTAGTCACACAAACTTTTTTTTCACTTAAAGATTTTCTTTTAACACTAGAATGGCGAAATCACAGCCATTTTGACTGTTATCAGTTTTTTTATTTTACTTTTCTTTCTTTCCTGACATCATTTGTTGATTTATTTTTTTGATATTGGATGACTTCAAATATTTTAAGTGTTCTTTAAAATGTTAATACGTAAAAATTAAAAAAAAAATCTTTGAAGATCTTTCATTTTTCTTTACCTTCAATGACTAGGTGGTACACAAAATGACTGTGTATTTGCGTTGCTGCTAAATACATTTGGGATGCTGCTAAGTTTCTTATAGTATTCCTTATTGCCTCCTACTTTTGTTGATATTTCTGTTGATCATGAATTGCTTTTCTGCACATCATACAGACAATGTCCTTTCAGCTTATCTGTAGTAACAAATATTTACTTCCTTTTATATTTTGTAATCGTTATGTATTATACGTACAAGTTTTCTTGACCCCTGGAATCCCTACACCCACTCTTTTACCAACATTAAATAAATTACGAAGCAGTGAGCATTGTTAAAAAATCTGACAACCAGACAGTTTCGCTCCCATGTAATAGAAACTAAATTGCATCAAAAACTGAACTATGGATTTGCAATATTAGTCCTGCCATCAAAATAAACAAACTACTCATTTCTTTCAGATCTACTGAAATGAGGGCTTAAGAAGACATTCACAAATAATAATTGTAAAGTTTTTTTGGGAGGTATTGTTGCAATAAACACTAAATTTAGAAGTTGTGTATTTAAATAAATGTTTACACAACTGTATGTTGCCTTTACAGAAACACTACTAGTAATACCTAATAAAATATATAATTTCAGATATGTAAAGGTTTTAAACAATGAAGTGAACATTGTTATATGGTAAAGAAATTAACATGTAAACATGCTTAATCATCAACCTTGTGGTAACATTTGAGGGGAAAGATTCAAATGACATACTATCCTTATACTTCCAACGTATTTCCTAATTATGCCAATTCATATCACTTTTTACAATATCAGTCTACAATTATATAACAAAATAAGGTCAATAAAATGTCTCATTAAAATTCATTTTTTCAAGTATGGTTTCTCTCCCCTTAAAGTCCATAACATTTACTTAAATTCTCATTAAGAAATTCTAATCCCATTATGAAATTCATCTGTTGTATGTGAAAATTGTGTTTCTATACCTTACTTATTCTCCGAATTTTAAAATACAATTTTTTGATATAAAATATTAGTACTTTAACATCAACACAAGGTGTACAGTCAACTCACTATATAGCGAATTCAGAAATAGTGATTTTTCAGTTATAGTGAAATGAAGTCATAGGTCCTGATCCACATGCATAACAATTAAGAACTATAAGATTCTGTTATATTACTCTCAACATCAGTGAATATCGTAAAGTCAACATCAGTGAACTTGTAAATGCAATTTCCAGGTCCACGAATCATAACATTGCAGATCAGCTGATAAATGAGTTATATTTATTTATGGTGAATGAAAGGGATTTAAGGAACCATACTACAGAGGGAATTGTTCATCAATGGCAGATGGGGATCAATCCAGAATGGGAGAAAACAGATGTAATGACAAAGGTACAAAAATGAAGAAAGTTCTCCAACATTGCAAGAAGGTGTGAAGACTGCACTAAGATTTTTTGTGAGGACAATGAAGAATAATATATGAATAAACGAAGATTTTGAAATTTTGATTTCACAGAAATTGGATATTTCACTGGACTCCTCAAAATATATACAATCAATCATTGTTGAAAAACTTAATTATATTTTCGGAACGTTGAATACATTAACACTCCGATATAATGAACAAAAAGTGTTAGACCCATGAGGTTCTCTATAACCTGAGTCCACTTTTACTTTCTCGCTACATAGAGAGAAAGTTATGTAATGCTGCGCAAAAAACCTCGAATTTTCGGCAGGAAAACTCACTACAAGGCCCTGGTAACGAAAAAGTGGATAAATACAGTTACTACAATTAGAAAAAAAATCCTCTAACACGTGGTGCCAGAATTTATGTTTTGTGGGTCCTTGGTATTGAAAAATCCATTGAACTCAGAAATTTTAAAAAAAGCAGTAGAATTGTGTAAGTGTAGATTTTTTTTAGTGTTATTTTTTCTTCCTAAACTAATATATTCATTTATTTTATAAACAATAAAGTTTCTAGTGTGATTATATGCTTCTGCAATGCACAGTTTTGCCTAGAAAGAATTGTTTCATACCAACGTTAGAGAGTTTGTTTCGGCTCAGCATCGGAATATCAATTTAGTATATACAAAATAGACTTAAACTTGTCTTAAGAGATAATTTTCGAAATTTCAACGTTTCCTCCACGGTCACTCTGTATATATAGTCTAAAATAATAACGACACACAATTTTCATGACCCGCTCAATTATAAGCAAATATTTGGTCGCATAGAACCAGCATATTCTCAAGTATTCGATAAATAAGCCCCATAATACACGCGTTTTATTAGTACATGACGCCAAAACACGAGAGTATACACATACATAGTAATTGGTGGTAGTTTTCCCTGTACGGCAATGCTGAACGCCTGTGTTTACAACCACCCGAGTACAACTGGAAATAATGAAATCCAGGAGCTCGATTTTCAAGATACGGGATCGTGGATATGCCTTGAACATCTGTGTAGGGTTTTCATGTAGTACCGCATATACTGTGGAAAATTACGAGGTGGGAAAATACGCAATGTGAAACGTATGACAAGTATTTTGGGTTAAATGTGTCAATAAAGCAGATTATATTCACCTCAACAATTATTTTTATCGTAAAAATATTGAAACTGTGGTGTAGGCGTTCCGTTCTTATACTCTAAAAACTAAGAGGTAAATACTTTTTTTTTTTTTTTTTAATTTTTGCCAGTTCATCAACTCAAAACATGGTGAACGTGGTTAATTTTGAGAACGTATAATAATCTGTTCATGGAATGAACATCTTAAGCACGAGGCTACCTTCACAGTTCGAGTAAAACATACTCATCTCTACAGATCTATCCCACTCTATAAATACTCTGACGCAGTATTTGCAAAATTCTACATTTTCCAAAGAAAGAAAAAAAAAAGCTCCAATTTCGTTCACGTACTTGCTCCACACAATCTCTAATCGTTGCTGTTTTATCATTTTACTGCTTCCTATTAGTCCGCCGTGTTCAATATCCTGAAATAACACAATGAAGCATGTAATACATCCAACAGATATGTGCGTAACAATAAGTATGACGTATAAGTACTACATCCACGACTAAATATTATTTATAAATGATTCTGAAAATGCTCTCCTTTTCTTGCACGTCATGTTTTTCAGAAAGTTAAATATAGAGATTTGCCTCCGAGCACACGAAGACTGCATGTCGTCTCTATTCGCTAATGCGCAATACAAAAATTGATGCTATTTGATCATTAGTTTGTCACTTCGCGGATTAATGAAGTTTGAGAAATTACTCTTGCAAATCTTGTCCTTTTCAACATTGCACGTGCTCTAACATTTCTGAAAAATGCAATGTACCGTAGATAAACATTAATTATTTCCACCTTTCTAGTCGTAGAATATAATGTTTCAAAACGTAAAATTGCTGAAAGTGTGAAATGTTTCATTTGCTCTTAAATATGTGCTAATAGAACTTCATCACAAGTCAATGAGGTAAGAAAAATTTAGGTTCATTACGCACATACAGTTTTGCAAGAAATCCTTTCTAAAAGAAAGAAATTTAAATATAAAGTAAAATTATATGATGCTGAAATGCAATGAAAACAATAGGTAAGGTGTCAAAAAAGTATAGTCATAATGCACATTATGAAAAACTTCCACTTCCGTACTTTAAAACGCATACTGCTGATTAAATAGCATTTTGAAGATTTGTGCGACAAAAATGAAAATGGTAGTCATACAAAAAGAGAACCAACTTCAAATCATAAGGGAGTCTTCAGAACAGCTAATGAATAAAATAAATGTAAGAAAATAAAGTTGCTTCTGGAATTGAATCATTTTAGAAAAAATTTCACCTGAATCATCTATTGGGAAATATTCAATACTTATGTTAAAATTGCAAAGTAGCATGAAACAGAATTACGAAGACAAAAATATTATATCTTACCTTCTCTTGGAATTCTGAATTATCAGGGCTTTCTGCTAATTTATCTTCCAGTTTCATTCTCTGTTTCGGCATTACAACCTGAACTTTACCATCTGCACCAACACACAAACCAATGGTGTCATTACATAAGGTAAAAGCATTTCCATCACAACTGGCAAGGTAAGTTTCAAAAGAAGTCACTTCAGTTTCCCTATGGGAACTATCTTTTATTTCTTTCAAAAACCCAGGAATCACTGTCTTCTCCAGAATATCACTCTGACTGCTTGGTGGTGCATTTTCAGGAACACAGTCTTTCATCATTGTGGTGTGTAGATTACTTCTTTCTTGATTACAAGGAATATTGTCTTGAGAAAAATGCTTTGTATCATTTGAATTAGATGCACTTGAATCATCTGATTTAGCTCTATTTTGAGAAGAAAATTTATTTTCCATTTCATTCATTTTCTTTTTTTGCAGATTAACATTCACTTTCACACGTTCATTCTCACAAGTTTCACTTAAAACAGAATTGTTTCGGCCACTGTCAGAATGGCTATCATCCACTTTATGAAAACTTTTTTTTGTATATTGTGTAGAATCTTTATTTTTCTGCTCTATTGTACAAATATCTTTGCTCTCTCTTTGGCTAAAAGAATTCTCACTGTTGTCAAAGGTAGCTTCATATTTTGCACTATGTTTTACTCTTGAGTTATCTGAATAATTTATAGAGCCTGAGTGCTTCCCTTCCCAAGTTATCTTCGAATCACTTCCCTCGGGATTCTTATGTTTATATTGTTTATCATTTGTTGTTTTTATGTTGTTAGTGTTATCATCATTGTAACTTCGATCAAAGGTGGATCTTTTGGAGGATTTCACATAGCTGCCTGAACTTCTCTCAACAGTAAAACTTTCAATAGTATCATGAGATCCAGATTTCCTTACATTCTCCCTATCTACATCCAAAACATTGTCTCCACTATTGCTGCCTAAATATTTTGTTGCACGTCTCTTAGATACATTTGAAACAAACGATTCCTTGGATTCTGAAACTTCATTACACACACTCTCTTGGTTTTTATTGTCTACTGAGGTACTTCTGTCCTTTTCCCAAACATCCCCTTCTTTTACATTGATTTTACTCTTCACACGATTAACATCTATATCACAACATGGAACACTTTTCTCACCAGTCTTATTATTATCATCTTTTGTACTTTCATTTGAAGATTCTACAGAAAAGCGAGATCTTCCAACAGGATCATCATTCCCTGGTGATGTCACCTTTTGTACATTACTATAACTACTTAAATAACGTCTTGTGCAAGTTTCCTCATGCTCTCGCCTCCAACTTTTAGTTCGTCTTTCAGGTACAGCATCTCCTGTAGAAATAGCCGCATCCATCCTACAATTCAAATATAAACTTTATGAATTTAGCTGTCAAAGGTAAAGATCTCGGTTCTTATTTCTAAAACAATCATTACTCTACTAATTATTTTTATATATTTAGTTATTTACTTAAATATTAAAAAGGAGAAAAGAAGTTTAAATTTAATTATAAATTAACATGGATACAGAGGTAAATAAATTATTTATTAATCATTTATAGTTGTCAATATTATGATATTAATTTATGCATAAGCAATATCATTTATTGGCCATTTGCCAAATAGGGAAATAAATGAAATGAAATGCAAATACACAAACAAGTTCTAATGAGCATGCTGAATATTAATATAACAAACTTCATTTAGTTCAATAATATAATACATAACATCTTATCATAAAAATTAATCACTGTTTCAACGTTTGAATTGATGTATCTCAGAATGTTGAGTAATAGCCTTTAATAGTCTCAGACAGAATGATGACAAAATAAAATGAGTTATGTCATATACCTAAGCAACTTGTTTCACTTATCTTACACAATTTGAAGCTATAAAACATTTATTTTAATCTTCTCTCTCAAACATTTCTATCTCATGTTTCAAACGTTTGTAGGTTTGAAAGAGGAACTTTCATTATTTAGAAGTCAAGTATATCTTAACACTTCAATCATACAATTTTCGTCATTATTTAATAGACCATTTTGATTAATAAAAATATAGTCATTATATGCCAAGACATGCAGTTACACTTCATATTCATAAAATGCAAACATTAGAAACAAGTGGATTATAAGAAATGAAGCATGTATATTATGGTACTATTGCTAGAAATGGTGGTAACACTGAAATAAGTCTAAGATACAAAAATAATAAAGAAGATAATTGAGATTAATGTGTTTTTTTCACGTTAGAGCAAAAACTACCCCTGTGACGTAAAGGAATTGATAAAAGAAAGCAAAACAAGCTTGACAGGTGGTCCTTCATTAAGTTCAAAAATGCTAAAAAGCATTGATTTATATCAGGGAAAACTTCTAATGTACGTTATAAGTTGTATATATTTTTTATTGAAACAGGATTTGTGAAGCAAAAAATAACGTGAGCACTCGTGTGCTAACTAATAGCAAGTTCAGTTACTCACGAAGATAATCAGTGGAACTTCGCTTCAATCGCTCAACTTAGATTTCTAACACCCATGCCATGAGGGTGCGTATAACACTGTAGAGGGATCAACACTTCAAAACTCTAACACTTCACTCTCAAAATTGACAGTATTTACATATGAAGTTCACCTGTGTACCATCCGCCATACACACGTAACATTGGTTCCGTGTTGGAGTCGTATATGAAATATTTTCTCGGAGTCGATTCCGGTATGATGAGAGAACGATCACACTCATTTTTTCCTTGGTAGATCGGCATTAAAGAGGGAAACACGAATTGTCTTGCAAAATTTCAGTCTTGTCAAAAAACTAAGAAAAGTATTTTCCACATCTTTGCCTCATAAGCACGTGCTCGGAAGAACATAACATAACAAAATAACAATATCTCACTCAAATCGAAAACACCAGCCTATAATTTTATGTATATTAGAAAATTCAAACAAAATCACCTCGGCTGTGACTATAATATACAATCAAGAAAATGACAGCATCCATCAACTATAAACCATCCTATTACAATCCATCAGCTACAACCATTAAGTAATTAAACAAAAAAACAACTAAAAATTACAATAGAAGAAAAAGTTATCAACATGGACGGTCCAAGGTGATCGTGGAACTCACACACACCAAATAGCTACAGAAACATCGCAACTGAAGATACAGAAGATCGCGATACTGCATTGTCGCACTCCTGATACATTTCTGGGAAGCAAGAAAGTTTCAAAAATCCATTATTATTATCTCAGTTAATGGGAAAAAAATCGAAATTAAAAGTGAGCACAACAGTAAGTTAAAGTAAACATCGACAAAATATATCTACCACTACAATTATCGGTCAATAATTTAATTAATTTAATTGATTATTTCGAATTAAATGTCTACTTTAGTAAGTTTAATCCTCACAAGTTTTCCAAAATTAAATTTGGTCACAAAATTGTGTTTGTTCAACAGTTTTGTCGCTGATCTCTCTCGTGCCCGTATAATGTGCTATGAGTTTTCTCCATTTTAAATTTTTTTAATTGATATTTTACATGTAATATTTAAGAACTCATGAGTAGAGTTTGGAAGTCCAAGCATTTATTTTTTCTAAAATAGGCAGGAAAAAACAATATATTTTGTCTAAAATATGCATGCGAAAAAGGTTCTGGCTGTATTCTGGCTAAAGTAGAAAGTGAAACACAAGAAACATAAAAAATCACCATTTAAAAGTATTTATTATATTCAAGTTATTAATTTATGTAATATTATTGTTATTTCAAATGATTAATTATTGCAAAAAATATAAGTTAAAATGATTCACATTTTTATTCTTACTCTAAAATTTACAATAGCACATACGTGGAATGGAATCATATTTTCTTTGTAATCTTGATTGCACATGACCATCCGGTTCGACTACGAATTTTACTCTCAACCCTGTCTCTACGAAATGCTATTGTGGGCTCCCTTTTGAATCTTGAAATGATAACAGAGAAAACAGAATTATAGATTTCGTTCTTCGCGCTTGTGTAATTTCTAGAAAGGAAGAGAAAATAAGGAAATGAGAAGGGTATATCATGTACAGTTGGCTCTACCTTCAAAAGGGATCCGAGGCTATACACAAACATAGAATGAGATTTCTCATGAGAGAACAAGTCTGTCAACATCACTGAAAAATATTGAAAATCTTCACCAAGATCTTCTTTTTTTCCCTTCAGGACACAACCTGCCACAAGAGCCTCCGCGCCCACAGACAATACACAACCGTACCTTTTTGTTGTCCAGGCTTGCAGGTGTTTCCAGTTTGATAGAGATTGGTGACAGGAAGGGAAGGGGGAAAAATAACGTCGAAAAAGGCACAAATAAGCCAAAATGAAATTCTAAAACAACTCCAGAAGTACAAGTGATTCCTATTGTTAAAAGTCACACGATCGTTACAATGAAAAGGCATTTTGACAAACTTCCGGGCTCTACTCATGAGTGTTATCAAACTTCAAAATTTAACTTTGTGGCCACCGTAGAAGATATTGCTATGTGTTCCAAGATCAATGTTATCGCCTTAAGTAGGTAACATGGCATTATGTAGTATAATGATGTCAAATTTTACCATAACGTCGATACATCGATACATCACCAAAAGGTTTCCGATGTCGATTAAAATATCGATGTTTTAAATGTGCTAAAACAGAATTTATTTTCCACCTGTTTCCATTTTAAGTTATGGTACTTAAACGAGATATATTTTATTGTTGTGTCACGGGCTTGATTTCAGGGGAAACGCATCGGAACGGCGTTCCGGTACCTCATATGAATCGGTATCGCGTATGAAATGCTACAGAAAAGAGCAATGAGCAGTGGCGGCTGGTGCCCCAAGAGACTGGAAGTTGCATCTCCATCGAATGACGGAAATGAATTTTCGAAAATTCAAAATACGAAAATATAATAAAAATGTAAGCAGTTCAAATTAATTAAAACTAAGTTAAATAAAATTCTATTGAATCATTACTCACATAATTTTATACGTCGTGATGCATCGTCAGGCATATTATACTTCTCCCGCGCAGGTGGTTTTGGCTTTGATTTCCACTGGACCTCCAGCACATCGCAACAAGGATCCCACAATCGCTGCGAGCCAGAGGCCAATCAGCCTCCTTCCTATTATGGGAAAGTTATTCGAAAGGCTTCTACTCGCGCGAATTCTGCCAATTGCTCTCTCACGGAACCTCATCCGTTTGCCTTCAGACCAGGCCATTCCGCTTCACTACAAGCACTTTGCATGGCTCAGCAGATTTCCGCTGATCTGTTACTCACACAGGATGTACCTGTCATATTTCACGACATGGTGCAAGCCTTTGACAAAGTGTCACACAGTACGCTAATTATAAAACTTCGGCGCTGCCTTCCACAAGACGAAATCGAAATTGTTAAGTCTTTCCTCACAAACCGCGCATTCGTGGTCAATGTGGGCAAAGCGAGATCCTCAAAGCGGAAGACTGCAGCCAAACCCCTCTGGGCTCCGTCCTCTCTCCGCAACTGTTCTCGCTGTATGTCAATGACATCCCACATACGAATAAGGCTCTTGCTTTACGCTGATGGCATAGCCGTCTTAACAAGAGGAATAAACCCAAATCACAAATTTAAAATACATAAAAAACAGATGATCCTGACGCTGAGTGGGCCGAACACAAACACATGACTTTCTCAGAGGAAAAGTCGCAGGCAATCTGTTACACCCGTTGCAAACACAAATTCACTAAATGTTTTACACCACCGAAACAAATTATACTTGGCACATAAAAACTGACATGGGCGCCTTAGGCAACTTATTTAGCCGTCACATTTGATCGAAGGATGCGCTGGCGTTTACATGTCAGACGATTTCGATCAAAATTACAGCAAAGAGTTCTACTCTTACAACCTCTTTTGAAGGAACATACATTCCCCTTGGAACTTTGCTTGGTACTCTATAAAACTTGTTGCTGGCCTGTGGCCACCTACGCTGTGGCAACATGGTGGATCACAGCACAGCAGTAAAATGATACACTTGAGCTAATACAAAGTCCTACGGCTCATAGCACGCCCTTCGTTTCGGAAACGGTTTAAAGTATTGAGGAAGAAACTTGATATCGACTCCTTCCTTCAATGCTTGAGACGGCTTTCGTTTAACGAAGCCGATCAAATCTTTCAAGCCAACGAAGCTCCGTCAAACCAATTAGCTAGACACGTCACCAGTATATGGTAAAGAAGACAAGCACTTTCCTCTGATATTCTGAAGGGGCGTAGTGCAACACAAAAGCCGATTTGTTTATTGACTACGGTCTGACGTGAACCCACGTCAGCCACTTACACATAGCAGTACAACGCGAAATGCGTGCGAAGTGCAACACAACTGAAAACACAAATCTGAGCCGAAAAAAAACCACAACAAGCACTATTACTTCGACACGTTTCATACAAATAAAATTATTTTATTTCGAACGTAGCACCACCTTGGTACATTGTGTAACTAAGATCCTTCCACACAGATGTTTATATTCCACCAGCGCTCTCCGTGGTGTAACTATAGCCTGCTGTATCTACCGAGATAGGGACTGCCTTCAAGATTGGTTAACTTTACACAAAGAATTCATCAAGTGTTCATTTTAAATCAGTAAATGTAATATCAAAGGAGAAAAAATCTCCAAATACCTAAAACAATGCACTGAATATCGTCAATAATTGACTGAACTTGTATACTTTCAATGACAAGCGCAATTCATAAAATTACGTTGCAACGAGTCTTGACGAAAAAAGAATTATGGGATTCCCCTAGGACTCCTTCGGTCGCCGCACAACGCTTGAAAGCGCCATCAGCTGGTTGATCAACCAAAATGGCCTATGTCGCCCGTGTTAAGGTGGTTAGAGCGAGATATTTCCTAGTGGATAGAGAGTCCATATTACATTAAAAAATATTTATTTTCGAAATAAGTGGGTATTGTGAGAAATATATAAAGAAAATATGGACTATTTGTTAAGTTTTATTTAATTACACGAATTAATTTTGTTTTATAGATCATAAATAAAAATATTTCAATACCATATAAAGATCTACTGTTGACACGTTTTGTTGTCGTCTAACAGGTATTTTCAGTTTGATAGAGATAGGTGCCTGGAGGGTAAAAGGGAAAATAACGACAAAAGGGCACAAATAAGGCGAAATGAAAATTAAGCCAACTCCAGAAATATAATTCTTAGCAAGTACCAACTACTTAATTCAACTTCTTAGCTAGAAACAACAGATCACGTGGCTAAGGAATGAAAAAATGAGGCATATGAATGAATGAAAAAACACTATTAAACAATTAGCAAGAGAAAAACTAAAAAAGGAACATAGTCATATACCTATATTTTTTACAGTGATCGCCAATAATGGCCAAAATTTCATCTGCCTTTGATAAATTGGCAACGCCGTAATGTACTTGAGATTGGCATATCTGCTCAGTGTTCATTCTTGTTCAAATTTTCGTTGTTTTGAGCCACTTTGAGTACTGTTCGTTGTCTAGTCGACACGCGGTAAACTATGAGCGAATTGGTGGAATATTTGTTTACAAAGCGGAATTTGAGAGCAGACGAAAGTGTTGTACACATCTTCGAGAAAGTCATCAGATGGAGATGCCACTACGAGCACAGTGTTGTCGAGTGGGGCATCCGTCTAGAAAGAATGTCTCCCTTCGGAGTGATTTAGGCTTACAGTTTTATAGAATTCTCACATTTGAAACGGTAGATGTCCTTCAAATTGCGCATATTGATTCTTCGAAATCCCTAAGGAAGTTTTTCAAATAT